TACCAACCTCGCCCCCGCGCACCAGTTTAACGACGAACCCAGTGGAACACAATGAGATCAAGGGACAGCAATTGTCGGTGGAGAAGAACACATAAACGAACGGATACAAGCAGAAGACGGCCACTTCACAGGCACTATTGATGTCAACTCGGCTGGCGATTAAACGTTTGCAAACAAACTGACAAGCTCGGCGAACAGGCGAAATAGAATTCAGTTCACCCGAGCTACGAGAACCAATTTTCAATACTTTGTCAAATCAATAGACTGTATTTATCAAGTTGAATTACCACAGAAAATGAGCTGACCTGTGTTCTCATGAATTACATATCTCTTTGTTGAGGATGATATACATTGTTGAAATACACGGCGTGTCCCTGTGATAAATCTTAGTTGAGACATCAAAACAGAGTTACACCATAGAGCCAACTGTTCCACACGGTCAAATCCCACCCCACCGGTACTTCCATCATCGTTCGGTAACTCACTCAAAAAGTACTTTTGTTTGTTTATGGGAGAAATCAATTCACTCCGACTGGACGGGGTTTAGGTAACCGCGGTCCAATCGGTTACATGTGACAGTATGACAACTAGTGACTTTGTTGGGTTCCTAGTAGAATGCGATTGGTTGAATTCACTTGAAGTCACTACGGATTCACTTGAAGTTGAAAAAGTGTAGTTACTCAGAATGACCTTGCATTTTCGATATATCTGTAGATTCGAATTCCGTCTCCAGACATTATGTTCGTTCAGGTGACCACTGAGTTTGACATTCATTTATCCTGATAAACATTCGACCGAATACCACGGACAACTCCAAGGTGGAATTTATACAGTTGTATCTTCCTAGCAGCCTCGATCTCAATGTTATTGAGAATTTGTGTACAAGGTGTTCAAAAATGTCAGGAATGTGGTCACATCTGGTCTACATTAGCATTTCCAAGTGAGATTGGTAATTTTTAGAAGTAAGTTATCAGAATCTTAAATCCACCTAGAATATCAACCGATTTTCTGCTATTCTTTGTTCTACTACATAGGAAAAACGAATATACGACTTGAAGAAAAAGAATCAGGAGCTGGAAAAGTTCAAATTTGTGTTGGATTACAAGATCAAAGAGTTGAAAAAACAAATTGAGCCACGGGAGAACGATATCAAAAATTATAAAGAACAAATCCAGGAAGTGAGTTATTCATAATCCGCTCATATTTGTTCAGTCCACTGCTGTGGTCGATTCCGGTTCAAATCACTCTGCTCACCGTGTTCTATTCAATACTCATAAAAAATGTGCATAGTTGAAGGTACGGGATGCAAAATATCTTGCGCAATGGGAATCCCATGAATGATTCCATCGAAAAATTCTCACCAGAATTGAGGACTAAAAACAATTACCAGTGCACAGGCCCGCAAAACAGTCCTCTTATGATCTGAAAAATAAATGACAACTTAAAGTGGTCTTAGATGAAATTTAGTGTTCAGTATTTACCCGACAATATTAAACAAACGTTTATCTCAAAGTCAAACTACTGCAGAGACAGTTCCCTTCAAAAGAAGAGGACAAGAGACAACGATCGACCTGAGATACTCGTTGATGCACTTAGTGGTGTTCTACCACCTTGTCATTCTTTTACCAAATGTAATGAAGCAAACGCTGCAATCATGGTGTTGTGGCTTACCCAACTATCACCAAACCTGATCCCACGATGTGTATCACAACGGTCCCAGTAAAAAGACAGTTGTAAACAGCGCAAACCTTTATCGAAAAAGGGAGAAAGGTGCAGTATATACGGGGTTAATCAAAGTCGAGTCATTTGTCTGGAATCGGGGTTATGAGAAGGTCTATTGACCGAAAGCACAACTACGCATCCAGGCCTGTCGAGAAAACGCCGATACGTTGTCATAGTGATGGCTGATGCCAATTCATTTCAAATGCAGTCCGCGTGTGTTCTCAGGACAAGGCTGGGTTCCCCCTGACACAGAGGCAGCACAAAAAAAAACAGAAATTTGAATGCAGTGTTCGCCACACCTTTGAGCAGGATGATCCGACTAAAGTGATATAACTACATTACATAACTTCTTTACAATCCACGAAATAGACGGTCCAGGAACAGGAGACATCTAAAGGACAGTCGGAAAGTGTGAACGGGAAGTGGCTCCATTTTGTAAGCAAATGCTGCACTTTAAATAACAGTTGAACTTTTAGGTTACCCATAGATTCACCCCGCATGCCAACCACAGAATTTGCAAGAGCAAAGACAAATCGTGGTTAACTCACATCCTTGTGAATTATTCAGGTCTTAAGTCTGAGGGACATGTGGTAATAGAACTGATCGGATTTGTTTGTCCCCGGTCATCAGTTTGACTCTTAGTATCAACAACCAACATGAAGGTTTAACACTGCTGTTAACTCACTGGTCTGTCTTTTCAAGGCATCACCGGATTGAAACCAATCATGAATAATTATGTGTATGTATTTTTAGGAGATTCACACCGCACACAAACCATCCTCCTTTGTGGTCCGAACTAGCAATTCACTCTTAAGTGGTTCCGCTTAGAATGCCCACCAGGTGGAGAATAATGAAAACCTTGGAGGTGATAGTTATCTTATGCTTCTAGTGAATCAAAATGAGAGATGCCTGCAATGACTGCTTCTTTTGGCAGTACAATTCCTCCGGTCCACTAACAATACATGCACATCATTGCAAACTACGACGACTGCCACTTTCTGTTCACAAGCACAAACAAGTTTGGACGTGACAATCTTTAGAAATATATTTCACTGCACTCGTCCAGTTAAAATTTATTCTTCTCCTGAAGTGCTTCCCTAACTCTCAAAATAAAATCTTACTATTCCAGTCATATTAGTCGTATCTCCGTTATTCCCCCTACGGAACTGGAGTTCAGTCTTATTGCGTTATGCTTTCCCGCCGATTAATTGTGGACAACGTCCATCGCTTTAGTATCAACCTCTCTCCCTGTCATTTCATCAAATAATTCATTCTAATTTTTGGTATATGAAGCAATCGCGGTCACAGACTAACACAAGTGCTTGATCACCTCATATTACGGTGGTCAGGACACGTGTGACGCATGACATTAGATATATCTTCCTTGGTGTGTAATGTTTACCAGTTCCTTTTAGTTTGTACAACCATTAGCCAGGCACCTTCATGCGTCGGTTTCGGTTGCTGCCTTTTGGTTACCCACTTGGATTAACGTTAGGGGAAGGACAAGAAAGTTGAAGGTAGAGTCGAACATAAAATGGAGAATTTCAGTGGTTGCAAAGAAATTGAGAACATGCACGAACGGCACTGTTTACAACACTCATCCATATCACTCAGTTCGTCTAACCATCAGTTGCGATCATCCCATCCAGGGAGCCTAAATGGACCTATGTGACCCAGTAACGTGGTTAGGGACTTCATACACTAGTGCCAGGTCTTAGGTTGACCACCCTTGACTTTTTTCACCCACTACCTGTCTCGGCGAACATCGCTCGCCGTGGCAACCTATTTGGTGACATGCGTAACACATGTGTCAACCAACGTAATCTATGGAGTTCGACCACTTGCTACAGTAGGCGACCACGGTTACCCAAAACTCTGCTCCAGGGTAAGTAGTGATTGGTACAAGATAAACGGTGGTCAGGGTAAGACTCGGTATGGGTGATATGCAAACCCTGACTAGGGAATTCAGTCACAAAGGCGAAATAAGACTTCTTAATAATGGTCCTGACCACCAACGGACAGGAACACTGAGTTGAGTGCGTAAACAGTGGCGCTCTTGCAGCCACACACTTTCTAACCAGATACAGTTTATTAATTTATACTGAACTTCCCTCAGACATCATCTTTAATAGAAATCCTCAGCTGTTTCAGTCAACCAAAACTCAGGAAGCACCAATAGACTCGAGTTTTGCTCTCGGCAGGGACATGCGGGATCGGAACTATAAACCCATCGCTTGGAAGATGCGTTTGATCTGGTTTGATCTGGTAATTCCGTGTACATTTGATATCACTCAACAATCAGACTCACGAATTTGTGGAAACATATTCAAGAAGTTATGGAATTGCTGAAGGAATTCTGATTATCGATATAACTACAAGAGTGTGACTACACGATCGCTACTTACAATTTGTTTCTGACAGATGGAAGCTGAACTTGAACGATTCCATAAGCAAAATGCTCAACTTGAAATCAATATTGCAGAACTGAAACAAAAGCACAAATCGGTTGAGAACGAACTGATTCAAGAACGTCAGGCAACACGAGACGTGGAAGCCATGGTGCGCCGATTCAAAACTGACCTGTTCAATTGTGTCGGTGCTATCCAGGATCCGAAGGTGTTGAAAAACAGTGTTATTGCTCTCTACAAGAAACACATTCATGAAGACTTGGTAGGTTGTACAACCCAGTGAAAAAGGTTTTACCAATCTGATCTGTTTTGATATATTCTGATTCCTATGGTGAGATTTTGTTTAGAATCACAAAAGATCACGACATGTCGATAATGCTTTTATTTCCAATATCCGTTTCAATTAACTAGTGTTTCCAGTTGAGTTTCGGTTCGAAAAAATTAACGGAATGCAGAGGCAGGTAGGTGTAGACTTCAGGAGCTGACAGGCTCACGACTCAGGACTCATGTTGCTTTTGTTTTCTGTTATAGTTACGTAATCTGCATTTATTTATATTTTGGTATCTCTGCATCAGATGATCCTTGCTTTGCGTGAGTGACCAAAGACAGAATTAACATTTTATTCTTTTAAAACTACAGCAATCTGAGGATCAGTTGTTTACAATGTCACAAATAACGATACAAGTGCCCGGTCAACTAAGCATAATTGCAGTTTCCAAAGGAATGAGAATCAAACTATGAATTAGCTTTTAGAAAAATACGCCAATGAAATTCTTAAAATAGCTATCGATTAATGAGATGTAAGCTTATAATTACATAATTGATATTGAGCAATCCAAAGATCACTATTGGGTTTTGGGAAGGCTTTGAAATTCCTTCTTTCCTGTCCCCAATTGAAATAAACCAAGGCAGACAACAAATTTTGAATTAAAGGTCAAATGAATCACTTTGGTTAGGTAAAATTGTAGATATGTTTTTCAGGCCAACGACGTGACAGTAAATGTCTGTTTGTTTGCAAGCTTAATGCACAACAATAGAAGTTCCATTACCAGAAGGTCTCGAACTGATTTAGATTGGTGTCACGATGATGCACTACATGATCAAGTTCGAATCACGTCAGTACCACTTAATTTTGATCGATTGTATTCTCAATGTCCCCCGGTTCTATACAACAGCTTTTCAACATCAATACCAAAAATCGAGTATTGTTGCTTATCACACCGGTATAGTAGCTTATTACGATAACGAGGTTGATCCGTTGCACCAACACCGTCGAACGTAAACCATCGTGAAAGTGATCATAATGACGATTCTAATAAACAGTTCCCTAATTTGTTGTATTAGACTGCCAGAAGACACCAGAAGCCTATATGATCGGCGAAATCTCTGGGTGATATTGGGAACATTTTTTGTACCTCACTCCCGTGTACATTCTTGATCTCCACGAAATAGACCCAATCTAAAGGGCCAGCAGAAATAAAGTAAAATAAATGTGAAACGACATTTTACGTTTCTTTACTTTGCTCTTATAACACTGCTAGCAAATTACTGTAGTCGGCGGTATGACATTTGCGTTGCTGCGGTGTAGCTTTTTACCACAAAGCAATATTTTTTACAATGCACTTATATTAATGAAACGTATTCCTAACCCGGTAATAATCTGTTGTGTGTGATCATTTTTCTTTGACAGCAAGTTATCGGCAGAGCTTTTCATCATTTAAATTCGGACTGTTTTCAAATCCGAATAATCTATTTAAAACAAAGGTAGAAAACATAGACCATTTTGCTTTCTTCCAGAAAATTACAGTGACCTGTTTCAATTTACCGTTTTCCGATTTGCCTAAAAAAACAGTTTTTTCACAGTTGCAAATTCATTGATTTCGTGTTTCCCGAAACCAGAGTGTAAAGACGAACAATGTAAGTTTGCCGTTTCACGTAGTTATCTTCATACACAGTTTTAACTTACAATGATTCACCCATGGCACTGTTGCCAATTTTTGCATCACTGGTTTCAATGTTGCGAAGTTTCTACCTTTTTTTACAAAGTTGTTCCGATCGTTGTTTAGTTGAACATGACCTGCGTTGTTTCTGTTCAAGTGCTCTAAGGTACTCTTTTCAACATTCCCCACTGAAAGTTATTGAACACCTTAAAGCAATGTTGAAATCTGTGTAGTGTCTCACCCCAAACACTGTCATGGTAATTTTTTTCTCAGCATGATTGCGTAATCACCTTCCAGTCTACACATGGTCTCTTTGATTCCAAGCCCCTTTCCTTTAGAACAGTAGGAAAACAAAAACCGTATAAACTTGTGCACACTCGGGAAGTCTTCATCACCTTCCCTCATCATGATAAAACGAACAATAAACCATGAGCATTGGCGTTGTTTTATTTTCATTTTCTCTTAGACCGGTGATGCAACAGTGGATGCGGATATTCAAAAGGAATTTGCTCGACAACGGGAGCATTTGGAACGCTCGGTGGCCGGCTTACGGAAGAAGCTAGCCAAGGACAGTGAAGTGCATCGTGTGGGATATGTGAGAATTATGCAGGTAGGTTAAGATTGACACAGTGTTTGTTCAGTGTTGTAGCACTACAGTGCAATTGCTCCATTGTTTTCGATCGTCTCGTCCCTCTCACCCGTAACCTTAAGCAAGTAAATTTCCTCTGACCCCTAATGCGATCTGATTGAATCCTATTCCGCGATCTGCGGCGCTTAAAATCTTTCACCCCAACACGAGACTGTCTGATTACCAGCTTGTACGTTTTGGAATGCTCTTGTTGTTACGTCCAATCCATCCGAGTGCTGATGGCACACCTGCTACACAGTCGAAGTTCACTGGGCCTGTCTGAGACTCACAGCTGTAAACAAGGTGTGGTTTCTCGCTCGGGTTAGCTGGGCAAGCACTAGGTCCCTTTTTGCGGCTGAACCACTCCAGTGAGAGGGACAAGACGATCGGAAACGATGGAGCAATCGCACTGTATACCTTTTCAACTTCAAGTGAACTCGTTGTAACTCCAAGTGAATCCAACCAATCGCATTCTACTAGGATCCCAACAAACTGATTGGTTATTATGCTGTCACACGTCACCGGTTGGACCGGGGCTATCGAAACCCCGTCCATTCGGAGTGAACTGCTTTCCCCATAGACAAACAAAGGCACTGTTTGAGTGAGTTACCGAGCGAGGGTGAAAGTTTCGGCGGGGTGGAGTTCGACTGTTTGTCCTCCCCACCTTTCTCCAAGCAGATACGTTATGTCCTTGACCGCTGATCGTGTGAACTTTAGAAGAGTACAAGATTGCTGCCCAACAGAGCAGCCGGCATCGCATTTGGAAGCAACCAACGATGAACAATGAACGCGGGTTGTGCATTGCGTCCGAAAAAGTTTAGGATCGTGATCAGGTGTTAAAATCTTGAGCCAAAAGTTGAAGGAATCACACTGGGTAATCTGCTTTGATGGTATTGTGATAACAGTATTGTTCTAAACGGATCCGTGCAGATGTTACAGCACTGAGCTCCACTGGGTAACCTGCTTCAAGATGGCTTGCTATTATAGGGCGATGCACGCGAATATAGTCGAAGGAGATGATAAAAACCATAAATAAGCTACTTTTGCGTTATTGTTGGTCTATATTGGTGGATATTGGAGTCCATACTGTAGACAAGTCCAGTGTTTGGTTATGATATCCGTTCAACTAAAAGTCTTTGACTTGGAATATGAAGTATGTTTTCGGGACCCGCTTAGAGCCTGTATCTAAAACCAGTCAAGTTTTGGCACAATGTCATCATCGCATAAACTTTTCCATTCCAAATTTCCCTGCGGCGATACTCTACCAGCGCTTAAGTTGCAAGGGATTAATAACTTATTCTCCTGTGCGGGTCCCACAATCACACGATAGATCGGGTTCATTCATCGATCGGCCGGAGTGGTCACAAGTTTGATTTGCTTGCTATGAATTTCCTCAGGTATACAGTTATTGAATTGAGAAATGAAGATCCTTGTGTTGATGTGCGCTATCCATGATATCTGCATTAAGCTCGCAAAGATGGGTTGTGTTATGACGTATGTACATACAAAATGGAAAGCAGTCTGCTCAGCTTTCCTATAGTCAAGTGGCTGGTATGCTTGCACGTAATCAAGAAAACTGAAATCTCATTTGAATAACTTAAAAGCAATTATAATGACCTGTTTAGCTTCATGAAATTATCCTCCTCCGTCCTCTATCCATCTTATGACGGACTTCTAATTTCAAATGAGAAATTACGGAGCACATGTTTCTTTTCTTTCTGCATGAAATCTGGCGCGTGGTTACCACGACTTGATGATAGTAATTCATAATCTAGAGCTGTCAACGAACATATGCAAAGACAGCATAGTAAAATGTTTAACATACTGGGTGTGTACTCTGAAATTATTCACCAGAAGCTTCCTGATTCATGTTAATATGAAGACAATTTGAACACCGAGAACAGCGAGCGAGAATGATTTTACTTCCAACCAGTTATCAGACCCGAAATTTATTTTCCTTTTTAGGAAAATGTCAGTTTGATTGGAGAAATAAACAATCTACGCAGAGAATTAAAGCTATGTCGAAACCGTATCGCCGAACTAGAAGCAGCTATTGGATTGAATCGAAAACAAGGCGAAAATGCACGACAACTGTTAACTCAAGTTGCGAAAGGTCGACAGAATGCTTTGCTCGAGTCCGAGTATGAACAGGCACAACGTGCACTGGCTGCTCAGTCAACCCTGATCAGACAGTTGCAAACGAAAATTGAAGAATTCGACCATAACACAAGCAATGTGGATGATCTTCTCCGCGATTTACAGGCCACCATTCAAGCTCCGGTCCCAGAACAAGAGCAACCGGTCTATATGGGGCCACGCGGACAACCGCTACCTCCAATCGGATCAAAAAAGCCACCCACCATGAATGATTCCGTCACATCATGACGGGCCGTGAGTTTATGCTGCACCATCAGCTACTGTAAAACTATAATTTAAGGGTCACGTGCACTTTACATTATTACTACACTGAAATAGACGGACTTAACACGTATAGCATAGAAACAAATGTAACACTGTTCATGAATTCGCATAGTCCGCTGTAAACTATTCTCTAAATCGGGATAAGGACATGAACATTTCTCCATTGTGGTTCTACGCACGAGGACTAAACTGTTCTGAGTCAGTCAAACAAAATATAGAATAAGTTCTTTGATTATTTGCAGCCTGTATACCAGTGTTATCGTTTTTAAAGGTATTGTCGGTCCGGTTTTTTTTATTGGAGGAGAGATATTTGCTTGAAGACCAGCAGGAATTCACTAATCGCCTCTTTGTGCGCGTGTGCACCAAGTTACCACTCACGAATGTAAGTACCATCTCATGTCACTAGGAGCCGTTATATCAACCAGCGAGCAATCAGAAGCGCAAGTGTAAAAACTATCTGTCAAGTCCAATTGGCTGCTGGCAGTGCATTGCTAAAATAGCTATCATTGATCTTCTGTCGACTGTTTTCCACGAGATCCACCGAACAAGGCTTCACAAATTTTCCTCGAGGATTTCTGTTCATTCTATTTTTGCAATTTGATCGTTGCTTTCCATGAACAAATGAACCCTTAAACGCTTTCTTATTGTGACATCAAGAGTCTGGATGCATTTAATCATTCCTGCGGAAGATTAGTTGTTTGATCTATTCTTCTCACGGCAAGAGAGTGCTTCACGGCCTTAACGCGGTGGGTGTTGGCTGGATCTCACTGAGCTTAGCGGATCTCGCTGATCACCACAAAAATCAAGAGGCAGCATTTAATCAATCCACTTCTTTATAACTACTTGTCTGCTTGAGTCTTTTTCGGTTTGGAGATCGGTTTGGTCGATTTCATCCTTTCTGCCTTTAGGAGCGATTGAGAGTGGGTTTTTGTTTGCAGGTGGATAAATTAGCAAAATGCGGGCTGTACGTGAGCTCACGCAACCCGTGGAAATAATTCGGGTTAACGAGACACCCGTCTGAATAATGATCGATTGTGATCATAGAACCGTACACACTGCTGTTTTATCCCTGGCCATCATGTTGAAGAGTTGGCATTGGGGAAAGTCTACGCCAGCTACAAAGTACTGAAATGCAAGTACACATTTCGTGAATTCAGTATCGTCCAGTTGGAACAGCATTATCCATCGTCTTCGAGGCAGTTAATAATGTTGAAGGAATCTGTTCGGTCAGTGCAGATGCATTGAATTCTTTTGGGATATATCAAAATAATGTGCTATTAGAAGGATAAATGCTTGTGTATTAGCTATGCTCACTACCAAAATGTGTGCTTCCTCGTCCGCAGTTCATCCATGGATGATACTTTGCAGATCAGAAAATATTGGTTGCTCCCAGCTGATCCACGCTTGCACTTCTTAGCATTTCCTTGTTCTGTCTAATGGCTAAGCTCACCATATCCTGCTTTCCATTTTCGGCCCATTTGGAGATCAACTTCTTCCTGTTTAAAAAGCCGTGAGGTTCTTCCTTGGAGAATCTACAAAAAGTCTTTTCTTGTAATCGATGGAATATCTCTTTTCTGGCACTCGTCTTATCCGGAGGTCAAAATAGCATTCGTTTAAGCGTATAATTCAAGCCAAATTAAACCGAAAACTTACGAGACCGGTGTGGCAATAAAAACTGTAAATCCTAATCAAGATGGCAAGCAAAGGGGAGCAATCGGTACCAGAAGTTTACGCAAGTGACGCATTGAATTATGATCTTAGTTCGTTTATTATCTCGTGTTCCCCAAAGGCGTCTACATTTGGACTAACCAATCTATTCGTCTCCGCACCGATTGTTTGACTTATTTCAACTGCTTGTTTGACCGAGTTCGAGGTGAAATACGGTCTGGATGAACGCTTTAGGCCAACTTATGTTAGTTATATTTTGCCATAACTGAGACCGCTTAACTACTTACCCCAACCGAACAGTTAGGTTTGACGTCCTGAGGCAAAAAGGACAACAGTCCAAATAAGTCAGTCAAGCCCCTACTGCAGTTGCTTCACGAACGAATCAGTAAGGGAAGGGCTTGAGTTTGGTTACCATATCTGGCCCTTCGTTCAAGTTTTGGCGAATCAGAGAACTGTGATCTCACCTTGTCAATTCACCGGATCCCTGAAGCTCTCTCACTGGGGCTTACTTTCTGGGTACGGTGTACAATAAAAGCAGCCTATAGAAACATGCTAAGACTTTTATTTTGGCTAGCTATTGATATTAATATTATCAGAAAAACAGTTGCCGATTGGGGCTTTTTGCATGTGCGCGTGTCTCACTTCGCCGCGGTCATCACTAACTCATATTCTCATTATTTGTACGCATTTCTTTTTCACAGGGCCTACCCAAACAGATCAACAAGAGATCGAGTATTCTAACAGTTCATAACTGGCATTGAATGGTCAATTTTCAATGCGTTGTGTGAGTCCTTACATAATTGGACAACAGGGACTACACGCTGTCTCTCTGGCTCTCTTTCTCTTTCATCTTTCAATGTTTTGGCATGAGAACCAATAAAAGTGTCGATGATTTGTGTCTTGACTGAAGAATATGCACGTAACACGTTGGCAATAAATCTAATTGGCCGTAAATTCTGAAGGTATTTTGAAAATGAACTGATCTTAACAGAAAAGAAATATCGCTTCCTCTTAATTGAATATTCGCATTCCAAATTATAGGAAGCAGGTCGAAGTGGATTGTAGATTAAATTGCAACTACCCTAGCACAAATTCAACTATCGTGCTGACCGGTTAAACAAAAATTTGGAAAACTATCAAACTTTTGAAATTACTATCAAAAATAACATGCGAGACGGCTTCCCATGATTTGTTACTGTTTGATTTTATTCATTTTATCGAATGGTATTCCGTAGCCAAAATTACCTTCGAGGTTGATATAACTCGCTTTTGCTCCACTAGTCATTGTATTTGCCCATGGTATAAAAATAATAAGTATTTCAATTGTAATGCACTTTCCGATTTTTGTGATCTCGAAAGCATATATGACACTCAAAAGCCTTTCATCAAATACTTCATCCAATCCCAAAATCACACAGTCAGTTCCTAGTCAAAGCAGAATAATTTTTAGTAAATCCAAGAGGTCAGAACGCTTTGAAGACATTTACAACTTCCAGCCTACGGTATATCTTGAGGTGCGTCAACTGCTGCCGGCCGTGACGAACATCTAAACGGATCTCATAACTCGCAAGCAATCAAGTTACTACCGGATAAAACCAGGACACATGTGGTTGTGACGGACGTGTATGGAATTATCGTGGCCCAGAGGATGTACCGGTACACGCAAACGTGAATCTGCGTTAAGGCCAGAAGGCGAAAAAGACAAACGAACGCAATAAAGTGAATGTCCTCCCTTGGAAAGATGCAGCATAAGCCATCTATGTAAAACAAATTTCCTAATGAGTTGGTAAGGAGATAACAATGTGAACATATCGTCAGATTATAGGGGAAAGTGATGTCCGTCAAATGTCAGAAATTGTCCAGATTTATC